GCCAGGAGGTGATACTCTCCCACTGTCATGGCTTTCTTCTTTTTGTGGTATTGAGTGAACATACCTGCCTTCCCAGAGACCACCTGCTGCAGGGGAGTGGCTATTAAGATGTCACTGACATCATCATAGGACTGCCTGGCTCTCCATTCCTTGGGTGGAATTACCTTGGCCAGGCCAGCTCTGTGTGCCCCTTGGGATTCCATGTAAGCAATATACTTATCAAAATCATTAAACTCTTCTTTGGTTGGATGAAATATCATTATGCTACAGTTTGGATTCTGAGCACAGTTGGGCTTAGACTTCATAGTTTTGATTTAATAAGTAGCAAAATCCCAATATTTAGATATGTTCTAAATAGATGAGGTGGCAGAAAAATGCTACTTTTTAATAATCAAATAGCTGTACTATGAGGCTGCAAGATCCATCAGACAACTATTTTTCAAATGAGATGATAAGTCTTTCTTAGGCTTTTTTGTTGACCAAGAGGACTGCACTGCAGGCAATTTAGCTTTATCCAGATAAGATGGTGGCTTAGTCAGCAGCTCTATTATTCTCCTCAGTTGGTGCGTGGTTCTGTCCTCTTGAGGTCTTCCAAATTACCAAGGCTTGGGTGAGTGACTCAAATGTAGCAGTGTGTCTTTAGGGCAGTGTATAAAACAAAATCTGAAGGAAAGAATACAGAAATATTGAAAATTAATATGTAAAAAATTATTAGCAAACTACAAATTAAACATCATAATGGAATATTACCATTACAGAGAGGCTAAAATTTTATAATAATATTGTCAATACAGTGATGATGTCAATGTGGAAGAAAATGCTAGGAATTCTCATACCCTACTACTAGAGGGAATATGAAACATTATAATCACTTTAGAAAACTATTTGGACAGTGACTTCTAAAATAGAACACATGCATTTTTTATGATCCAACTGTTATACATGCTCAGGAAATGTGTAAGACTCTGCACTGAAACTCACATCTGAGAATGTTCATAACAACTTACTTCTAGTACCAAATACTGTAAACAACAAAAATGTCACCAACAGAATGGATAAGTGTAGTATATTATTCCTATAATGGAATACCATATAACAATGAAGACAAAAACTACAGAAATAGATTTTATAAAGATAATATTGAGCAAAATGGTTAAATTCAAGAGAATATCTATTACATGATCTCATTTACATAAAGGTCAAAGGAGACAAAGTAATCTATGCTCAAGGTAAAAGTAATGGTTACATTTGGGAAAAAGAGAGGTTGCTGTGAGTTGGGGCTAATGGAGTCTCTAAAGTAATGTTAATATGCTCTGAACCAGGGTGCTACATATATACCCATCAGAATAGCTAATTTAGTAATGCAGTAGAATGAATCCTATGTTCATATATGAATACATGACCAATGTAACTCCATATTATATGCAACCACAAGAATGGGAAGTTATATTCAATATATGTATGTCAAAATACTTTCTACTGTCATGTATAACTAAAAAGAACAAAAAAATTTTAATTGTGATAACTCATCAAACTATTACTATTTCCACAAACTTCTATATGTATTTAAAATAGAGTTTAGATCAAAAACCACTAAAGACAACTAAAGAGTATATTTCATTATATTTAAATGGAAAAAAATGACTGAAAATAAATGAACTAAACAATCTATTGAAGAGGCTAGAAAATTAGAATTTGAAGGAAAAAGGAGTGATAGTAAAGAAATAACCACAAATAACAATCATTTGTTTCCATAACTCATATTGTGTGGCTTTGTGGCATTTGTCCCCCCAAGTCTTACACAAGTGATAACAACCCTACACAAACCAATCTAGCACAACAGAATTATTCCCCATAGAGGAGGGTCATCCAAAAGATATGAGAAAAGCAAATAGTGCATGTTCAGTCAGAATTAGGGTTTTTCCTGGCAATATAATAGAGAGAGAAGAGGACATGGATGTTGGTGGAAGGGATAGGTGACCAAGAGAATGATTATAATGATGGACTATTAAGTCTATTCTGGATTTTAAAAAAAGGAAATGAGAACATGAACCCCGGGGATCCAGTTTGGGGTTCTCTCCTGTTTACAATCATCACAACTCAAACTAGACTTAAAGGGTCTATATGCATCATGTGATAATGTCCCCATCATACCCTAATTTTTAATTTAAAAAATTATTCTAAAATAATATCATATTTTTTGGAATATATAATCAAACATTTCAGAATATATAACCAACTAGTTCATTCTATTTGAATACTTGCTCTAAAAACAAGAAAAGAGGAGTGTGAAATAATGTAGGAGGGAGAGTTCAATATCAGAAACTTAAATACCATGCTAAGGGGCTTTCCTCCAAGAAATAACAAATACAAAGTATACTATCACACAAGCTCCCATTTTGTATTGAATATACTATTAAAATAAGCTTTAAATATTTGTCTTTGTTTTATACATTTGTTTATAATTACGTTATTTCTACATTTGTAAGGATTTTAAGAAGAATGAGGCTATGTTTCCTTAAATGTATACTCTTCAGATATTGCACATCAAAAGGAAATACTCTGGTTTTCCTGAGTAATTCTGTGCTCACAACAAAACTGCTCAGAATTTGCCAGGAAAAATGACAGAGTAAGCCTTCTGTGCTCTCGCCAAATGTGTCAATTCTCACTAAGTCTGGTATGTTCAGTTTTAGTGTTAGACTGCCTTCTTGCTTCTGTCAAGTGGAACCAGATGACACCAGTAAAGAATAATTACCCTGCCTTCTCGGATAATCTTCCATTTTATCCTTACCCATAGTAACTACAGTAAGAAAAAATCTTCATCTAAGGAAATTTGAGTTCTGACAATAAAAGAAAAGCATTTCCTTTTTATCAGAATGATTTAAAAAATGATTCTTGCAGGGCTGGGGTTGTGGTTGGTTCAGTGGAGAGCACTTGCCTAGCATGTGAGGCACTGGGTTTGATCCTTAGCACCACATAAAAATAAATAAATAAATAAAAAATTTAGGAAAATGATTCTTGGTCCCTTAAACCTGAAGAATTTCTGGAAATTAGGAAGTTTTTCCTTTATGTCTTTTAAAATATTGCCTTCTAAGCCTCTCCGGGTGTGTGTGTGTGTGTGTGTGTGTGTGTGTGTGTGTGTGTGTGTTTAAACTGGAAAAGGTGAAGACTGAAGACTAATCAGTTTAACAGCCCCTTTACTGCAATCCTTGCCCAAATTGTAGGATGAGTCTTTTTATCTTTCCAGATGCATACATATTTCAAATTTATTACTTCAAATGGGGGGTTTTGGCAAAATGCCTTAGACATTGGTCAGAGTTTCTTCTGACAGTCAATATCCAAATGCTGTACTTAACATTTTCTTATTAAATTAGAAAGTCTATTTACTATTCACTGAAAATAATTTATAACCATAACATCTGATAGGTGAATAAATTCTATTAGGTAATTACTTATGTATTTATTCCAAATTCATTGTCCAGAACAGTATACCCAGTAAAATAAAGGTTGAATGAATGAAATTCCTTAGATATTGATAAAAGAATTTATTATAGGATTAAATATCTTAAGATCTAAAACTTTCCAGCAAGAATCTATTATTTTATATCATCACTATTAAGCAAACTTATTATGGAAAATTTTTTTTACAAATTTGGGAAGTGACAAACTGTAGCTCAAGTTGTAATTTACATTTTTGGGGTTGCCACTAAGGTTAATTTTTTAAAAGAATATTAGCCATCTAGATTTCATCATATGTATTGGTTCATATCTCTTGTCCATTTTTCTCTAGTGTGTTTTCTTATCTATTTTATGAACATTTTACTTATTACTTAACATATTAAACCCTTTGTTAGATATGTTAATGATTTTTCCCAATTTGGTATTCCTTTAATTTCAATTTTGGATATTGTTGAATCTACTTCCCCATAAAGAGGCATACAAATATTTTCTAGGGTTTCTTTTCCTTTCTACATGCTAATTATGCCTTTAATTCTGTTTTTCTTTTAGGGAGTTTTTAATTGCTTTGTGGATATTGGCATAAGAATGAGTATGGGTATTAAGAGGATATAAATCTGTCTCTTGTTCATTGTATGTGCTTGTTATTCTTGTTTTGATGGGCTTCTTTTTAAAAAATTGTTTTGTAGGTGTAGATGAACAGAATGCCTTTGTTTTGTTTTGTTTTGTTTTTATGTAGTGCTGAGGATTGAACCTAGTGCCTCATGGCATGCGCTCTGCCACTGAGCTACAACCCCAGTCCTGATGGGCTTATTTTTGTTGTTTGATTTGGCTTGTTTTCTCTCAAAATTTTTGTTCCAATATTCTTAAATTTTATAAATCACAAAAATTGGTTTCTTTAATGTTAGGAATTTTTTAGTAACTTCCTTTAAATGACTTTAATGCATTTCATCTGTACATAATTCCTGTTAATTGGATATTGGATCACTCATGTATTAGACCTCTAGTTTTCATATTATTCTTTTCCTCCCAATTTTCTACCCATTTTATCATTACACCATATCTTCTGAAAAATTTCCCCTTTTTCATCTTCTAAACCTCCTATTTGTTTTTTTTTTTCATTTCTCTCATCAAAATTTAAATTTCCAAAATTTAAGTCATTTCTGTTCCCTTGTTTTTGTTTTGTTTTTTATATGTAGATTACCTTTGTTTTCTTTCTTATTGTCTTGTTCTTGTTTAATGGATGTATTTCTTCTATTTCTTTGAAAATACTAAAATATCAGTGGGTTTTGAAGTTTTATTTTGTTCTGTTATATGGTGTGTTTCTTTGACATTGCTTTTTGTCCTTTTTTATAATTTTGGGTCTTTATCTTTCACATTTAAGGCTGTCCTCAAAGGTCCTCAAAATGTCCTTAATAGTTGCTTTATATAAAAGCAAACTCAAGAAACCTGAGCAGGTTTGAGGATCATGCTTCCTGCCTGGCGACCTGGCTGTTTTCTGGGTGAAGCTTGATGCTACTCCCTCCAGGGCTAGTCAGATTCCATGTGAAGGATCCTTTGACTTTTCTCCTCAAGGCAACAAACAGGTCTTCCCCAACAGAATGAAAAATAGGCCTAAAAGTTCCAGCATCCAGCTCATAAAATTTACTTGCTTTTTCCATGACAACCAAACTCTTAATGGTTCCTGGAAATTTCCACTCCAGAGACCACCTTTTTTACCTAGAAAATTAATCTTCTGCTCGGTTCAGAGAATAGCAATTTACCTGGCTTTCAGAGGAAGAGTGGGGATCTGGGACACAAACCTGCTACTTACACTTTCAACAAATCCTCCTTGGTCTCATTTCAATTG